TTTGCAGACTCCAAATTGATTCTAAATATTGGTAAAGTAAATATCGCTGAGTTTATATATATCATTGTAATGGCCCCTTAGTGAACAGTTGTGAAATATCAGTTGTGTTCCAGGCACAAGGACAGGTTCTCAGAGGGTCACCCCAACTAACAATCATACACAATGCAGGGACCATCCTGCAGAGACAGATGCGTGTATAGGGGGCCGTGGGTGCTCACGGGGCTTTTTATCCTGCGTTCTCCCCGGTTGAAGTGGAAGCGAATGTGGCTTCAGCATCTTATTTGCTTATGTCTTTTCTCCCCACCTGAGGCCATTTGACGACCAGAGGTAGGTAGCTTGGGGTATACTATTGGTAGACCAGTGGTAGATGTCTCTGTTTTCATGAGGAAGATCTGGGTTTGATTTCCTGCCAAGGTAGCTCAGGTACAGCCACCACCATCCTGTGTGTTGCTGTGTTGTCCAACAGGTATCAGTGGGACCTCTGAATTAAATGAACTAGCAAGAAAGACCTGGCCCCCACTTCTGAAACTCAGCCCGTGACAGCTGCACGGTGCAGGATGGGGCACTTTGGCCCTGCCCTGCTCAGGGTTGCTGTGAGGTGGGGCCACTCCATGGCTGCTGACATGTACGCATTTTAGTGTATCCAAGTCTTATCTGGGGGACTTGATAAAAATGTCCACTCTCAGCTCCTCCAAAAAACCAAATTCACTGCTAATGGATGGATTCTGATTCATAGTGACTAAGGGGCAGAGTCGAACTGTAGCGGTTGGTTTCTAAGATTGTAACTCTTTACTGGAGAAGAAAGCCTTGTCTTTCTCCCGGGGAGTGCCTGGGGGTTCTAAACTGCTGACCTTGTGGTTAGGGGCTCAATGCCTAACCACTATGCTATGAGGGCTCCTACCCAGCTCTCATTCAGTTCATTTGGACAAGACCTTGGAACTTGGATTTGACGGCACAGCCCTGCTGGTTCCCCTGCAGCCAGGCCCTGGGACTCTTTAGCAAACAACCTTGTGAAGGACCCTGGCAAGAAGCAAACACCTCCATGAAGAGGGTTTGGGGAAGTCCATGCTCAAAAGTCCATCAAAGAGCTTTTGTTTGTAAAACATACCCTTCCCAGGAGAAAGCTCCTTGGAGTCATGGTGAAAGAAACAAGAACCTTAGATGACTCACACCAACATCTCCATGAAATAATCTCCAATGGAATGCCAAGCAACCACAAAAATACATGGTGAAGATTAATGATTTATTAAGTCAGATCAGCAGGGGGCATACTCTATGTGGGGTATGAGTCATTGTTTTACAGGGAAAACACAAATGTGTGGATGACGGTTTTAATTTGTCAGAATGGAGATGAAATGATGGGGGGAAAATTAATGGAGGAAGAAAAAATTGGAAAATGGCCTTCGTCAATAGCATGCATCCATCAGGTTTGTATTGTATGTGTGTGTTCATGTGCAACTGTACATATGTAAACCATTAGATTTGATGAAAACAGACAGTTCAGCTGCCACATGTGAATCACTGGGGGATGGGGGCACATGCAGGGTGAGGTATGGGATCACTCCAGAAAGTTAGGAGATATCCTTCATGACGGCTTGTGGTTCTGCTCTGTCTAACTCAGTCCAAGTGTCTGGTGGTCAGTTTCTACCTATGACTTTTATTTCCCCCTCAGACTGTGTCTTGTAACCTCTGAGTCTCTCTCAGTCTCTCTCTTAGCTCTTTCTCTCTCTCTCTTTCTCCATCGTCTCAAATTATCTCCCCCAGCTCTTGGCTCTCAGCCACTTCCCCTCTCTCATTCTCTCTACTCTTTGTCTCTTGGTTCTCTCTCCCTCTCCCAATCTCTCTCTCTTTCTGTCTCCCTGATTCCCCTCCCAAGGACCATAGAAGAATTTTGGGGATTTGATTCAAGAACAGCTCCAAGGAGTAGCAGATTGATTTTCACATGGATGGGGTTCCCTGGAGCTGATGTGTAGCCTAGGGAAATGGTGCTCGGAACACACCTTCTGAGCTTAGGTTCCGGTCCATGTTCCTATGCAACCACTCAATATACTTGGAGACCCTGGTGTACACCCCAACATGGCCTATGGCTGCACAGCCCTCGCCCCAGCTGACAATTCCTGTCAGGTACCACGTGCTTCTGTACTTGGTGAAATGGGGGCCGCCACTGTCACCGGTGCAGGCGTCTTTGTGCCCATCCAGGTCGCCGGCACAGAACATGTTCTCTGTCAGTTCAGGGGCATTGATACTCCTTTTTGCGTTTTCCTTACAGTCCTGGGTCATCAGTCTGGGCACGTTGATGGTCATGAGCTCCACGGCTGTGGAGCCTTTGTAGAGGAGCTGGCCCCAGCCGCTTACCGAGGAGAACTTGATATAGGCCAGCGTTTGCTCAGAGAACTTCTTGTCTGGCAAGCAGAGGGGCACCACGTAGTCGGTAAAGTTCACTGGTGTGCTCAGGCGGAGCAGGATGATGTCATGGTTGACCCGGCCTATCCTGTACTTATCAGGGACAATCATTTGAGCAATGTACCGTTCTTGTTCGGTGCCTTCCTCTATGCCAAGGTCATGCTCACCTGAAAGGAAACTGATCATTATTTGGGTGGTGGTTGTTTGGGGAGGACGTCTTTCCCCACCTAAAACCCTAGCATGATGGTGTTCTCATTTTGCCCGCCTGGAGCCAGATGAGGTGGAATGGGGAAATAATGGTCCATTTGGAGGATCTGGAAAGTGTGAGAGGAGGTCTCCCTTTGGAAGAGGTGGATGAGACCTGCCTCCACTATTAAAAAAAAAAATCAAGCAGAGTCTTTGCCCATATGGTTGCTGCCCCTTCTAGGAGATAAGCTGAGACCATGTGGGAAGAGTGTGAGTGGAGGGGTCCCTCTGGAACATGAGATGTTAAAAGGGTGGTAGGTGTCAGAGAGCGGGGACCAGCAGGAAGAGGGATGGGAGCTGACAATCCTGCACTGGTCTCTACAGACCACGTCTGATGCACGTCTGTTGTCCTCTTCCCACCTTGGGTTCTCTTCTTGCCTCACTGAGCCCTCCTCAACAGGGATCACCTCTTAGCACAAGTGACAACATCTCTCCTCCTGTGTCCTCTCTATGATTGGGTCCTGGGAGCACAAGAGCAGCCGAGGGGACAGTGGCCACAGTGGGAGAATCCTTCTGAGCAGAGAGGTGGGCCCGGTGGGCAGACTGGCTCTTCTGAAGTTCATCTGGTCATGGAGATGAGGAGTGGAGTGTGCCGATTCCTTACCCCTTGTGCCATCATTCAAGGACTGACTTTGAGATAAAGACCACACCTACCTAACACCACCTTCACAGACTTCCATGTCCTTCGGTAGATTTTGTTGAAACAGTGGGCTGCAGAGGCCACCCAGGTGGCATCCAACAACACCCCTCCACACTGCAGTTTCCCTTTCAGCATCAATGCAGCCTGCACAGGGTAGAGCAGACATGCAAAGGTTACATTGCTCTCACAGCTTCCTTGGTTTCTCACCTCCCCACACCCGCTTCAGGACAGCTCAGCCATTCATTTCTGAACTCCTGGAACCTTTGCAGATCCTGTCCTTGGCTTCATTTTGTTCAGGTTGGGGTCTCCCTCTCTCATGTAGCTGAGCCCACCTCAGGGATTGGAGGGGCAGGTCCACTATGCTGAGAGACAGCTAGAACGCAGTTACTGTGGACTTGATTTAGACTCATGGCCCCTGCAGTGGGTCAGAGTAGACTGTGCTCCACCGTTTTCAAGGGCTGATTTTCTCCCCCCGAAGTTGATCATCAGGCTTTTCTTCCGAGGTGCTGTCGATTAGCAGCTGAGCATGGTAACGGTTAGCACTACCCTGAGTCTCCATAGAATTATACAGTCCTTTCTATTGGCATGGGAGTCCTGATGGTGTAGTGGATGATGCATTGAACTGCTAATCACAGGACAGTAGTTCAAATCCAGGAGCTACTCTGAGGGATAAAGATGTGGCTTTCTACTCCTATAAGCAATTACAGACTTGGAAACCCTCCAGTGCAGTTACTTCTACCCTGTCTTGTAGGGTTGCTATAAACCTCCATCCTCTTCATGACAGTGTGTTTTTGTTTTTGTTTTTGTTTGTTATATATACCCTAATACTATACCATTGGGGGACAATAGAACTTCATTTGTCCCTTGAATAGCATGGAGGAGATTGGGGACCAATGTCCTGAGGAGCAGTTCGACTCTTGAACAACATGAGTTTGAACTCTCCCCGCCCACTTACCAGCTAATGTTTTCTTGCTGTGTGATTAAAGATCCATGAGACACTAATCACATCCGAACTGCTCACGCAGAGATGACTAGGACCACACCGGGTTTAACTAGATCCTTGCAGGCCCTGAGCTCACTGCAAGAGCAACCGGACAGCTCTTATGCATCTCAGTTGCCTTTAAGTTCAGACCGTGTAGTTCAAGGGCCACCTGCCTTGGTGTGGGAGTCCACTAACTCATCAGTATTTTCATGTCTGAGGACTCTGCCAAATACACCCTTGCATCTCACTTCAAAGAGCTGTTGTGAGGATTAAATTGTATCACGTTCCAGTCTTTGAAGCAACTAGTGTAGTTTGGCTACAGTTTGAACCACCAGCTGCTCCGAGGTAGACGGATGAGGATTTCTGCTTTGGGAACCCACAGGGGCAGGGCAACCCTGTTGTGTAGGCTCCTTATTAACCAGAATACCTTGGTTGCAGTGAGTTTCAGTGTGACTTTTATGAGCCCTCATTCAAAAGTCTGCAACCACACCAGGGCCTGAATGTTCATGGGGTAAATCAGTGATGGATGAGGGGGTTCTGAGCAGCCCATCAGGCCAGGGGAGACTCACCTGCCACGGACATTCCCCTCGGGGACATTGCACGCCACCCACAATTCGACCTAGAGAGGCGCTGTTGTTTCTTTTTTCCAGGACAGGTATTTTCCCACATGGATATTTGACTGTAGAGAACAAAAGTCAGTCAGACACAGGGGTTCATGCAGGACAGATGCGCTTGTGGATCCAGGGGCTCAAGGGCTTTCTACTCAGAGATCTGAGGCTATGGCTTTCTGTTTCCCCTTTTAGCACAGAGCTGCTCCTTCCAGGAACTCAAGGAGAGACCTTCCGGGCTCAGAGTGGGAGAGGGCTGAGTTCTACCCAGATGCTCCTTGATCCGGGGACCCTGCTGGATTGGAGCTGGTGGAGAGGCTGTTGGTAAGCTGTCAGATGAAGAGATGGGGCATAGGCTGGTTTGGGAGGAGATAGTCCTAAGTCTTGAAAGTAAATCGTGCTGTCATTCTGTGGGCTCCCTCTCATATCAGCCCTAGTGGACAGATCAGAACTGCCTCCAGGGTTCCCAACCATGTCATTATTATGGAAGTAGCCCAGGTGATTATGCACTGGCCACCTGGCTGTTTGAACCCACCAGGGCAGAGTTGTGGCAGTCTGCTCCCCTAAAGACTGAAGCCCTCTAGGACAGTTCTGCTGTGTCCTCTAGGGCTGCTATGTTCAGCCAACTCAGCACCAGCAGGGATCTTGGTGGAAGCAGGCATCTTTCTCTGGCCCTGACGCTGGTGCGCTCAAACTGCAACCTTTCCATTAGTGATTGTGTGTTTCAGCAGGACACCGCCAATGAACCTTTTCTCGAAGCTAGATTCTGTTATAATTTCAAGAGAAAAAAAGTTGTGATTTGAATGACTCAAGATGAACTAATAATCAAGAACAATTGTAGTGCTTTTTGGGGTGAATGGGGGGAGTTCATTTCAAAATATTTTTTGTGGATATTTATATATATGTGGATATATTTATATCTAAATATATTTATATATAATTAAATACATACTTTTGTAAAATATATGGAATAAAAAATTTATTATTTACTGGATATATATATATATATACACACAGAGGGCCATTTTACCTATTTTTAAGTGCACACCCAGTGACATTGATTACTTTCATCATGTTGTGCAACTTTCACTGTTATCTATCTCCAAAGAGTTTTCATCACCCTAACCAAAACGCAGCCTTCGCTAAGCAAAACTCAACCATTCTCTCCTTGCCTTTTGCCTGGCTTCTGGGAATGACTACTAAACTTTTGTCTTTATTCAACTCTCTGTTCTAGATATAGGAGTCATGGTGGTGCAGTGAGTTAGGGTTTTCGGTTGTTGAGTACAAGGTCAGTAGTTTGAAACCACTATCTAAGGGAGAAAGATGGGGTTTGCTATTCTCATAAAGAGTTACAGTCTTGGAAACCCACAGAGATATTTCTACGCTGCCTTATAGGATCACTATGAGTCAGAATTGACTGGGTGGCAGTTGATTTTTTCCTAGATATTTCAAATAAGTAAGATCACATGCTTCTTGTGTTAGCTGTTTATCTCTTAGCACAACGTAGTGTTAGTTTTACTTCATTTTCTCCACCTGTGGTAGTTACATATCTGGTGTCAACTTGAGACTATTAAGAGTGAAGGGGTGGAGTTTAGCCTGTCAGTCAGGTCAGAGCTTGATGACCTCATTTGGAGGCACTACAGAGATAAATAGCTCACTGGAGGTGGGACACACTGATAATCTCTGCGACACATTCCTGTTGGCAAGCCACATGGAGACAACAATGGTGGAGCCAGAGCCCTGGAGCTGGAGGAGCCACATGGAGATCCACACTAGGGCTGAGATGATTCTGCCACCAATGGATCCGGAAGATTTTCCACATGCTGGCCTGTGATATACCTGCATTCAGCATCATTGCATCTGTTGCATGAGTCTAAAGAGGAATTTATGGACTAGTTTTGACATATGAGATAATATCTGATTTATGGACTTGATCTGAACTGG